ATTTGCATTTCCAAATGACTCCGGGAGGGTTGCGATTATTCCGTACGCGCTACCGTTCCCGATCGTTAACGGAATGCAGAACAATGCGTGTGGTCGCCGGGATTCAATTATTGTCACCTCGAAAATACACGGCGCGTACGTGTAGCGTGTTCGCTGATAAAATCGAGATTTAATAAAAAAAAAAAAAAAAAAAAAAAAATAAGAATGAAAAGAATCACATTAAATAATAAAAACGAAACGAGAGACAAAGGGAAAGAGCAACATCACGATCCGCTGGAACGGCGCACGCACAAAACAAATATCTATCCAAGACTAGTCGCCAACAACACGGCGGTAATTAATTAATTAATGGTGTCTAAAAACGTTGCACTATTTATGTTAATAATATAGCATTTCAACGTTTTGCTCGTTCTTCTTTTTATTTTATTCTATTAATTATAAATGGCCGAGCGCGTGTGTAAAACAATATTGTTGTGCGCGGCAAAAAATTCAATATATATCCGACGGGGACCTACATGGGAGATTCGTACGTAACGCGTTTACAATGTTAACAAATGCACAGATAGCAATCGATTGGGAATCGTGAGAAAAAAGAATTATACGAGTATTGTCGGACACTGAAAGTATCGGTTGAAGTGCGCACCGTTGTTGCTGAGCCCGCGTGTACAAAACCGTACCAGGGCCGTGCACAGAAATCAAGGGTCCCAGGGACAAATTGATCCAGACCCTGATCGCGCGAGGTATTACACTTGCCACTGACGACCAGTGTCGTCTTTTGAAATGTGTATACCGAAGAAACAATGTAATCGCAGTCACGGTCATTCCACAGAATAATTGATAATAGTTATTTATAGCCTACGGGCCTTTCTTGAAAATGTTATTTGTCCACGTTTTAGATCAATATTGTAGTGTTCGCATGTTATTCTAGACTCGTTATCGAGCACGATTCGTGTTGGTGATCCATAAGAAGCTCTACACCGTGACCGTAGTGGACTTGATCAGGCCCTTAACCATTTTTGAAGCCCGGGCCCATGGGTTTCAGCCCCAGATGCCCTCCCCTCTCGTCGGGCCTAACCGTATTCGTAGTTGACTAAACGACGGTTCGGAATTTCGTTCGCTTTTACCACGAACACGTTTGTACTCGTAGCCGTCCCAAGGGGACGTTTTTACGAACGTCTGAAGTATTGTGAATTTAAGGGGCGTTATAGAGATTAACGATTACAAGAAAAATTCGACGTATTACTTTAGATAGGTATTGGTTTTCCGTTTGTGCTGAAATGTCTTGGATCTATCAAGTTGTATGTTTCGTCAAACGTTGTTGCCCTAAGTTGTTATTGGTAGTCGGGGCACGGCACTGTTTGCGTTCATAAATTGGTTTTCAACATTACGTTTCGTGTGGTTCACACTTGAAGAACGGTACATCCGTTTTGTTTATTTATTTTGATCAACCTTAGGGCAACCCCATAAAATCAAATTATTTTAAAAAGTAGGTTAGTCTGGGAAAAAAAATGTTTGGAAATCCAAATGATCGGACAACAGCGTGATATACGATCACGTGTAAGCTATCGAACTGTGTTCGTGCAGCGTATGAAAAATTAAGTTTAATATTGAAATTAAGACTGTTTAAATTTTCTTATTTATTTTTTAATTTTTAATTTGCGTTTTTTTTTTGTTTTTTAATGTTCGCACATTACAGCAAATAAAAAATACCTGATTTATTACGTTAAAATCGTTAGTCGACGCATTGTTCGATTGCCGGAGGACGTTCGGTAACTGGTCGGTTGACCATAAGGTTTTTAAAATCAATGGGGTGGAACTTAGGTTAATAGCCAAGGGATACACGAACGGACGAAGGTTGAGGAACGCTAATATTTAGTCTTTAATATTGTACGAAACAATATGTTAATTCCGACGGTTAATATTTCAATTATATCTACGAAAATTTATTAATATTACGGTGGGTGCACAAATCAAACTGTGTTTTGTTTAATAATTATTCACTAGGTACATTAAGTTACAATAATATTGTATTTTTATTTAGAAATATCTAATACCTGATGTCCGATGTAGGTTTCAAATTTTTTTGTATCGTTTCGTAATAAATACTGTAAAACTTATGCGGAAACTGACAATTTTATTTACTAGATTCGAATCATAAGCGGCATTCGTCGGGGTGGGGCATGAGGGAACAGTTGCCCCTTCAGAAAAAATATTGAGGGGGAAAATTTATCATTTAGCCCCCTCCTAAGTCAAACATAATTTAAAAAATTTTTATAAAATATTTATGTTAAAATTACGTTTGTACAATTATATAAGAAAATTATTCCCCATGTTAAGTCAGATCAATATTTCAATAAATTAATAGAAACTAATGCATTAATGTACATGTACATTGAGTAAATATACAATCAATACTTTTAAAACATAAAATAACATATTACATTGATATTACTTGATATACTCATCATCTTATCAGTTATCATACCCATAGTAAGTAAAAATGTAAGTGTAAAAATGTATAATATATACATAAGTTGAATGTGAGAAGATTTTAAAATTGATCAGTAAATTGTGATTAATCCCCCCCCCCTCCGACAGTAAGAGTCAAATGCCACCTATGATTCAGATCATTTTCAGATAATATTGTTTTCACGAATGCACTCTGAATATAAACACTTTTATAATAATAATGAATGAAATAATGAAATTATAAAATATGAAATAATGAATGTTCATGGACAGTGAATCTGCGATTATACACTTGATTCTATTATTAAGTTTTTAACTCAATAACCACACGTTGGATTTTTTTAACAGAATAAATACAATTTATTGAAAGCGAGATGCAACATTATTGACAAACAACTGAGTAGGTACTAGATGTCTTAATAAAAACTTATTAGAACGAATTTACGAATTGTAAATTGTGCTTCAGGCTAAGTAACAGTAATATTATATTAAACACGAACCAATATATTCTTGTATCCCGTAAGTATCCCACGTTTTCGGGGGGAGGGGGGGGGATTTGTGTCATAGGAATAATTATTTATAAATAAATACCTTTTTTGAGGAGGCATACATTTTTCTCCTGGGTGGTGAGTGGGGGGTAGGCAGTACTCCTCTGAAATGAACACTGATCTACAGACTAATTATTGTGGATAATTCGTGACATCATTCTGATTATTAAAAATATTTTAGCCTATAAATGAACATTTTAACAACTCGCTAGGAATATGATTTCTGTGAAATTAAATAACCATATTTTTTTGTGATATACATACAATATAATTATATCATATCACTCCGATATAAATAAAATTTAATAATTTTACTAGTTGAAATTATTCGTGACACAGATATGGTTAAATTTTTTATACATGTATATGGACGACCGCAGGAAATTTATCAGGGAGGGGGGGGCATAATTAAATCGAACACCAAAGAGTATATTAAAAAAAACGTATTCTTAGCAAACAATAAAATGTCAGAATTGTATACACTTTAATCGTTATCAAATAAAAACTGAAGTTTTCGCAGTTGTTTTATTGCAAACCTTGTTCTTAACCGTTCGATTAATATTTTCCAGGGAGGGGGGCAAATGCCCCATCTTTCTCCCCTTCTGGGCGCCCATGTATATATATATATACATATACAAAAAGGTATTTCGTTTTACTAATACAAGAACATAATTGAAGATTAAAAACTAACAGTAAAATAATGCAACATTACATGTTAATTCAATAAGATTTAATTTTAATAAAATTAAAGAAAAACAAAAATGTTGAACAAAATATAATGTATACAAAATGTAATTCAAACAAATTAATGTTGATTAAATACAATAAACTTAATTAAATTGAATGTGTTCAGTCTTTAACAAGCAAAATTATAGTTATATTTTATATTGCACAAACTATTTAAAAAATTGAAAAGTTAAAGATAATTAAAAAAAAATAATTTCTACATATAAGCACCGGCCTTCAATAGTTAAATAAGACGATATTGGACTCGTGAAAATATTTAACAGTAAAGTATACATAATGTATAAATTAATGTAATGTATTAAAGAAGTAACTTTGATGGTTTTAATATTGAATTTCAGATTAAAAAGCATAACATATTTGGCCAATGAATAATATAACTTATATACAAAATATAATTTATGTGGTATTGGGTTAGTGCGTATAGTACAAAAACTAAAAATATTAAAAATAATTACAACATCAACGAAACACATGTTAAATTCCAATCATGACAACCAATCGTATCAGTGACTTATGAAGAACTTTGGTGGAACGACAGGATGGTAAAGCTTAATACTATGGTATGAAAATGCAACAATACCAGTGATGGAACAGTGTAGGTACATGATAAAGCAGTAATATATTTAAACATATAATCTTGTGAATGAAGGTGCTATTACATTCCAAAATGCGTATGTTTGATGAAAACAAAAAGGATACAGTGGAATAATAAACATCCACTGATATCGCGTCGATAAACTCAAGAAAAGCATTCATGGGACTGCCAAACTATCCAGTAGTAATACATATTTGCTATGTACCTTACAATATTTATGATAAGCACAGATAGAATTGTGTACACTTTTAATTGAAAAATATATGTAACACTATCACTTATAATTCGAATTAATCTCTATCTATCCATTACAAATTGAATAATTATACATTTATTTTGTTCAGTGTACTGAGCTTGGGAAAACACTTTAATGCGGTAAAATTAAATATAACTTATTTAAAAATAAATTATTATCACAATCAAAACAGTTAATTTAAATTAAAATTGTATAAAACTTAAAACTATAATTTAAATATTGTGTCTGAAAATGGAATATACATATGATTTAAATTTTAATAATTTTGAAATACATAAATAGGTAACAAAAAATTATTAATTATTGAACATATTTTACATAAAAAGTTTTTTATAGAAAATATAAAAATATAATAATGAAAAAAAAAAAAAACAATAAACACCATAATGTATAAATAATAATTTAAAATTAATAATAAGATATTATGTTATTCAGTCGTTATTGTAATCTTGTAAAGTATAAGGGAAAATATGTCAAACAATTCCTTCCATTTAATAAAGTATGCATAATTTTTATCAACAAATGCATTTGTTATGGATGTAAAATGCAATGATTCCATTGACAAATGAGGGAAAAATATTTGTTTTGTATATGTAAGATTTGACACTTTACCAATTAACTCAAAGTGCTGGTTTAATGGACCAGACATGGCAATATAAGCTACATGTCTATTTTTGTAGTCAATAGTTTTACTAATATTTTTCACAGTATCACACAACATATCCGGATCCAATGAAGAACCAAGATTGTAAACTTTGATGTGTTGATAATTCCTAGAATAAAAAAATATACAATTAGACATACAAAGAAAAGTGTATTTTTTTTAGTATCTAACTGCTCAATCATAATATTAATTTTTTGAATTGTTCTAGTCATATAAGGTAATTTTTATACAACAATAATAATAATAATAAATAATTAGTATTGATAAAATAAAATAACATTTACTTTTACATACTAATAAATATTATTATTTTAAAACAAAATTATGTCGAAACATAAAGTAAATTTCTTATAAAACTCTGTACAATAATAATAATAATATTTTTAATAGTAATAACTAATAAATTATAACCTTTTTAATGTTTATTTAAATTCCAGTGTTATAGGTAACATTATATAATATTATAATTAACAATAAACGTTTAAAGTTTCATGATAAATAAATCTTTTTTATTATACTATTAAAATTATAATTTTTATTATTCATACAATATGTATTGAGTAATCGTAACCGATTTACATTTCTTCACTAAACAAATGATAGATTTTAACATTTTTGTTTGGAGTATAGGTAACTTATTAAACATAATGACTCATGTAATTATAGTAAATTATTAATTGATAATCACTAAAGCTCAGATTTAAATGTAAAAAAACATATTTTTACCGTGATTTTATCAATTAATTTAGGAAGTGATAAATTCGTTTTTAAGCAATTTTTAATGAAATTAACTATACTTAATTTTATTTATTTTCCGTAAGTACAAGTTCTTACATATTTCTCAATACAGACATTTTTCCAGGTTTCCAAAAGTACATAAATAAAATAATAACAATGATTGAACTTAATCCACGATCGATATAGGTTCAAGATTTATGACCGATGGATGACTGATTATGATTTATTAATACTTGTTTGCATTTAAAGTACTGACAACGAGTCAATATACCTACATTACCAAACTTAAAAAAATAAAAGATATCGTGTTAACGTTTTATCCTACTTTAACAGTTTTTATTCAAAAAATGAGAAAACTAATAAACAAAGATAATATACTAATAAAAATAATTTAATCTTTATGTCTTTTAATTTTGAATTTTTGGAGGATACAATAAAACAATTAGAAATAATAAAACTAACTTAAGTTCAAAGCTTAGTACGCATAGAAGAAAAGATAAAATGTACAGAATAAGTACAAGGACCATTGGGAGTGGCAGTAAAAGAAAATATGCAGTGTAAAAATTATGTAAAAATCTTAGTTTAAACTGCTTACAATTGATTGGAGATATTCACTGTGGAATAAATGGGGTAATATTGCTGACTAAGCTCATTCCATTTTACAAATATGAAATGTTTACCCATTACCTCTGTTAAAATCATTTTTTGTCATTTGTAATTCAATTTTTATTTTATTTTTTTATCACATATATTGGTTTTTTTAATACATATAAATCTGAGCCTGATTAATCACTATTAAATAAAATAAAATCATATACAAAAACAATTTTAATCATTTATAGAAAAAGAAACAAAATATATGATAGTGTAAGCAAGTTACAAATTAATATTAATATTTTATTTTATATTTTAATGTATAAATGAATTAATTCAAGTAGTTTTACAACTTACATGTATGGTTTACTTTCATTTAATTGAGGAACCATTAATAATCCAATAGGAACAGAATATATATGACTATGAATAATATGGACATCAGAGACATTTTTAATATCTTTAAATATGTATGAGATCATCGGAAGGACACCAGCTTGGTGCAGGTAACCATAGAATATGAGTCCAATTAGGTTGGAACAAATCCAAATAGGTAGAATGCGGGGACTACCCTTGATGTAATGACTAGAAAAATATTTGGAAGTAGTAAATACAATAGGTAATAAAAGTGGTAAAAGAAATCTAGGTTCTTGATGAGGAAAAACAGATAACAAAAACAATGGAATGATTACATTGGCCATCATCAAAGTGTTCACTTCGTGAATATTTGGTAATAAGTGGTAATGGTGATTCTTAATGCTGGAATGAATATACATAATGTTCAAGTTAATACTAATAGCCATTAAGATATTTTATGTAGGAAACTAATAAACTTACATTTTCATTAAATTTATCAATTGTAGACGTTTTACAAATAATAGAGCCATAACATTGAAAAGTAGAGGAACATTTATAATTGAATGGGTTCCTCGAAAATGAATACCGTGTTCTGCCAAGTTTGAAGAATTTAAATTGTATTTGATAAAGTTTAAAGGTGTTACTACTAAATTTAATTCATTGTCTGTTACATGCTCAAAGTAAAATGAATCGACCATTATGAATACAAACATTCCTGGTATGATACTGAGAAATATTACTAAAAACCGTAAATTAAAGATTCTTAAAAATTGATTATAGTTTTTTGAAAATCCTCTAGATATCCAATAAAATATAGGAGTAATAGCATACAATACAAATGTTGGTCTGTTGAAGGTGCCAGCAGCTAAAATGGTACCGATTTCTAAACAATGACGAAAATGATGACTAGGTAATTGACGCAGCTTACGGCTCATAATTACTTTATCAGTTATTGATGTACTATGCCCATAAGTGTTTTGGATTTCATTTTGAGTGGCTAAAACCTGAAATTAAAAATAAATTAATATATATATAAATATACCAATTAATGATGAAAAAATAATATACTCATACTTGTTCAGAAAAAACCATGCAGTCAATGACTTTCCATAACAAAAGAGATACCAGAGCCAACTCCACAGAGTTAGTAAAAGTCTTGGTACCAAAAACAATTATAACATACGAACTTGAAAGAAGTAATAAATATCGATTAGGCTTAAGTTTGAGTATTTTACAGATCCTGGAAAATAATTAGTCGATCATATACATCTTTACTTATAATAAACTGATATTAATATTAATCTAAACATTGATTATATATAGTACTATATAATATATATAAATCAATGTTGTAAGCGATAAAAATAAATAATTACTATAAATCAATCTTACTTATATAAAGAATAATCAGTTATAAATGATATTGCACAAGTGACTAATCGAAAAACAACTAACAACGTAAAAGGATTCCATGGAATATTATACAATTTAAAAATCCACTTGGCTATATATAACGGCATGCCGAAGATGCCATATAATAAACCTATACTTCTTACTGGAGCATCTTTATTAAATTCCCAAGGACGATCATGTACTACTCCAAACAAATCACCTGAAAATAAATATAGATTTTATTAGATTTTTAATATTAAACCAAAAATAGAGAACTGATGCAATGTAAAATTACAGACAGTTAATGCCATGGATTTGAAAATCGACAATCATTATATTTTAAAACTATGAATCGCTGTAATGAGAATAAGATTCTATTAGAAAATGGTAAAAAAATAGATATTGATTGATGTATTTGTTTTGTGTAAAGTGTATCATGTGTTACATGAACTATTTCATAATAGAAATATGAAATGCCATCAACGCTTCAACTTAGTGACAGGAGAACAAAGAGTACACAAATAAAATTTGTTGAAATCTAAGCGTTTCTCATGGAAATATTTTGCTAATTTTGATTAAAAGAAACCAAGTATTTAATCCTTGAATACGTGAATACGTGATGTGCATTCATCGTACGATCGTATTACATACAGTACATGTACAGATAATATTATTGTCTTTACAATACACGAATCTACATTCAAGTTGTTCGAGTTGAAAGATATATATTATATTTACAAACTGAACTAGGCGCTTACCAGTGATGATTTCGGTCGTTTGAAAAAATTCGTCGGGATGTACGTAACCATCGTGCATAAGAACCGATGTAAATGCTCGAAAAACGACCAACGCGGTGTAGTACACCGACATGGCACGGCCGAGACCGGGTATGAGTTTTCAGATTTTAATTATTTCAAATCCTAGCTCGTAAAAACAACCATCACATCGATAGCCCACTCGAGAAGTATCACGGTTATCACGAGAGCCAACTCGAGGTTATCATTGAACCCGATAACAGTGGACGCTTTTCCTTATCAAAGAGGAGGTTGTATACATTGTTGTCGTGATAAAGAATTATGAAACAATTTATGAATAAAAATCTACTTATTTATAGGTACGTTTTCCAAGGCACGACATGTCGCCGCGACCGACGACCAAGACTTGTCGTCGCGACGCGTTTTCTCTGATGTGTTTTACATGTCGCTGCGATTTTGGTAGTTATACTCTCAATTCGCTTGCAAACCTGTCCAAGTGTACAGATGTGTTCAGGTGTAACGTGTAGTTAATTTTAGTTAATACAGTTTTGTTTAAATTATTATGAATCCGTTTCATGAGCGGAAATTTGGTGACATTAGTGGGGGTCTGAGCATCATTTGCTTATTACACTTATAGGTATTCCTGTACGCAATTATTTATTTCAACAAGGCCATTTACAAAGTTTGACAATTTGACATACTCAACAATTTAACCTAAAAAACAATTAGGTGCCTTATCTTAAACATTTTTGGAGTATTTATTCTTTACAGAAATTATTAATTAATTAAATTAAACAACCAATGAAGGTATTATTACATTTTATTAATATTACGATCGTTTCAAGTCATGCCAATAAGTTTGTAAAATCTTACGAATTTGATTTAATTTTTATCACAGAATATTTATTTTTTTTCAATTCAGTTATTAAAAATGCCTTTAATTATTGTATTTTTAGTCACTTAACAATTTTTAGGGCTAGGGGGGGGGTTAAGACCTGTACTTTACATTTTGGGGGGGCTTAGTCCCCTCAAGTCTCCCCCCCCCGATTCCCGCTTATGATCCGTTTATTGAAATATACATTAATAATAATGATATGTTGACATTGTTATTGGATGAAGAAGATTTTATATTTTTCCATCTAAAGTCAAAATAAAACAGATATGTTTAATATTTTAAATATCGTGATACTGAAGGTTTTTACGAAATATTAATTAATAGACATTTAAAAAATAATAATATTTTTAGAAAAGAATATCTAGAGAAAAATAAAAATCCATTTTATGAATATGAACCGGAAAAAGTTCCTTCTTCCTATTAACAATATTATTTCATTTTTATTATTGTTTCAACAGTTGTTGTGAATTGTCGCGGTGACTTGTCGCACAGCACTGCTCCCGGAGCAGTAGTGTCGTCAGTCGCGTCTTGCAAAACAGTTGATACTATTTTTTCGTGTAAACAGATATCGACGACATGTCACGCCTTGGAAAACGTACCTTAATACGTTCCATAAAAGTATTAATACTTTATTAATAGAAAATTAATTAATTAACAAATAATAGCATTAATGAAGAATATAATGTAGTTACGTTATGGTAAAAAACTTATTTACTTTTATAGGTTTTAAAAATAAAATAAAAACCTAATGAACAAACGATTTATCACAAATTATTTAGTAATTCTTTTTGTGCGTGACGAAACTATTATTATTGAGTTCAACTTCTGGGCATCGTTAAATGAACACTAACCATGTATCATTTTTGCAAACCTCTAAGAAATCTTGTTAGTGATATTATAAATCATTACCTATCCAATCTAACTTGTTTACCTACCTAATTGTACAACATTTAGTAAAATTGTAATGCCGATGAAAAAATTACACAAACAAAATTGTAAAATTGTCAATATTTTACTTTACTTCTATTGTCTTCTATCAAACAACGTACCTATCATATGTATTTCAAATATTAAACATTTCAATAGATCGTACACCTACCAACCACAAAGATTATTTAGTTTTGAATGATAAGGTTAATAAATGGATGAAATGGCAACAGAAACAAAACAAGGATGTAGGTACGGTAAAATAATGTACCATCATTATTCATTGATTATATAAGTTTATATGGTTAATTATATTAATACTCATCAAATGTTATAGAAAAATATTCTTTTTTCATTTTTTTCTGTCCTTCGATTTGTCTTTTAACTCCGAACAAGAAGTGGCTCCAACATCCTTTATTATTTCGCTGATGTATTTTGTTCTAAATCTTGCTTCTATAATTCCTTAAATTATTAATTTATTAATTATAATTATTAATTTTCTAATTTGTGCAAAAACAGACATTGTATTGTTGTATAATAATATGTAAGATAAGCCCCCCCCTATAATATGGTGTGTAGCAGTAGCGTAGATACAATTCTTTTCTGGGGGGGGGGGGGGGTGTTTAAGAGTAAGTTTTTAAGTGTTCGTAGTATATCTTAAAACGAGATCATATATAATAATATTACATTTAAAATAGTGTTATTATGTCCCGTATTAATGAAAATTATTTTGTTATTCAATTTTTAATATATACCTAATCATAGTAAAATCAAAATATTTTACTATAATATATAAATATTAATAAATAATAATCAAATATCATTAAAAAAAAAATCTGTGGGGGGTGGAAACCCCTTACACCCTCCCCGTAACTATGCCACTGGTATGTAGCTTGACACCATACCGTATCTTGACATTGGAGTCAATCGGTTGGAGACCTGTTCGGATGCGTCGTCCTGTGAGTTGGACGGGAAGTTTTTTTTTTTTGTGTAAGTTGATGATTTCTTAAATTTATACAAAGTTTTTTTTTTGTCTTAGTGAGATAGTTAACATTTGTCTCCATGTCTCAGAATGTGTCCAATAATCTGCCATCTTCTTCTTTTTAAGGCGTCTATCAATTATCACTTTTCTATTATTGTCATAATCTGTTCTTTATTCAATCCATTTTGTTTTCTGCATCGTTCTTTAGCATCACATTTCCAAAGCTTCTAGCACGTTTTTCTCTTTTTTATTTACTCTCCATATTATCTCTCTCTCTCTCTCTCTCTCTCTCTCTCTCTCTCTCTCTCTCTCTCATATATAGTAAACGGATACAACGTGAATAAAGATTCTTTTGTTCTGGATTATCAGAAACGTGTATTTATATAAACTTCAATATTACGTAATGAGTACAGTTTGTAGACATGTGTAATTATGTAATATATTTACTTATTATCAAAATATATTCTGTTATATATTACTTTATTTATAACCATTAACTTCTATAACAAAAAATCAATAAACAACATTATCTAATGTATTTCACTCAAATGTTGACACGAAATATTTCTGTCTAATGACTTCGGATTAAAATAGGGTTTTCAGAAGAGATAGTGAATATTAAAATATACATTTTTTGATGATTTTCAAATTTCTAGCCTTTTGAGTGTATGCATGCACAACATAACTTGCATTTTTTTTAAATTAAAACAGGTATTTTTGAAATCACATTCGGATAGACCAAATTTTTTAAAGCATTTTTTATAAATATATTATTTTATTTAATAATATATTTTCTAAACCAAAAATTGTCTGCTTAATAGCAAATGAAAGTTGAAATGAAATAAATGGTTGCACTATTTTTAAAAATTTAAAAATGTCTTATTATGTCTTACTAAATTTATTAAGGTTTCTTAAATGAAATAGAAGTTAAATTTCAATTAGAGTTCACTAAGCAGAAATATATTACGTAACCATTTGAGTGAAACACTGTATACTTACATAATAAATAATAAAATATAAATTTATTTGTTAATAATAATTTATAATACGCAATATGGGTTTTAAAATATAAGCCACAGGATAATTTTTTTTATCGTTAAATATTGAATTATCTGTAAATAAACATGTTTATGTAAAAATATTTGCATAATTTGAATATATAGTTTGTAAATTGAACTTAAGATTTATATAAGATCTATATTTCTAATATTTTTTTATCGTGGTCTGGTCAAGATCCTTAACCCGAGAAGATATATTCTATATCTATAAAAAGTATATTAAAAATATTGTGTGCTTTGTATTAGTAAATTGTATATAACTAATGGAAGTCAATTTATTATAACATAAACTATTCATTTTGAATAATAAAATTAATTAAAATTAACAATTCTAAATGGTTTATACTTGTAAATTAATATTTATGTCATATCCATTTAGTGAAATTATTCATTTCATGAAATGTATCCATTTAATGAAATTGATATTATTATATAATATATAAATTATTATATAAGTCGATCTTAAATCTATCCTTAATTGGTTGAGTGATAACAGTTTATTTCTAAATCTCAATAAATCAACCATCTTACTTCACTCACTGTCTGAACAATCCTTACTACCCATACATAATATAAAAATCCACGAATCCAACTGTAATACATTGGAAAGTTGTGTTTGTAACTCGGTTAGTATTGTAAAAAACTGTTAGTATTTAGGCATAGAAATGTGCTCTGATATGAAATGGATAAACCAGATTACATCCGTCACAAATATACTAAAAAATATGATATACATAATGAAAGAATTACGTGAAATATTGCATCTCAAAGACATCAGAACTATATACCTAACACTATTCGAGTCAATAGTATCGTATGGCATAATCGGATATAGTGGTGCCTATTACATTGCCCTTTTACCGCTCCAGAAATGCCAAAACACTATACTCAGGGTCGCAAACAAAAAAAATTGGAAATATCAAACAGAAAAACTATTCGAAGACTTTAATGTCCTCAATATAGAACTCTTATACCTAAAAACAATCACCATATATCTGAAAAAACATAATCAGTTGGATTCTATAATCCATGGGGTCAACACCAGATATGCAGTTAGTAAATTTTCCTTAGATTGGCCCTCAAAAACTAGCTGCCGAAAAGTTTACTATTTTTTAGGAACACAGATACTTAATTTGATGTCCAATGATATGATTAACTTACCGCTAACCATATTCAAAAAAAAAAAAAAAAATTAACCATTGGCTACGATATGAATATGTATGTAAAACTTAAAATTGTATGTAACATGCTAATTTAAGGATTGTAATATTTACTGGAATTATTTAGAAAAAACTCCTTATTTGTCTTTTAAAAATGTAACATTTACTTTAAAACAATAAGAATTATTTGTAATCTAAGATAATCCA